TAAAAGTGCTATTGCAGTATATGTGGAATAAACAAAGTAAAAGAGTTTTTGAAATAAAAAAATTCGATTAACGATTTTGATAAGTTCAAATTTTTCTTAGGAATAGAGGTTTTTTATACAAGTGTTGGTATTTGTTTCACAAAAAGAAAATATTGTCTTAAATTATCACCTGAATTTGGAATGTTAAGATGTAAATAAGTAAAAACATCATTTGATCCTAATGTGTTGATTAGTGTTGATGCTGATAAATGTGATAATTCCTTGAAAAATATATATGTTTATAAAAAAATAATTGGGAAATTAGTCTACCTAACCATAACTAACCATAACTAGATCTGATACATCTTTTATTGTGCAAAATTTAAGTCAATTTATGCACAATCCTAGAAAGTCACACTTAAACCTTGCATTACATGTCCTAAATTTTCTAAAACAAAATCAAAGTAAAGGTGTGCATATTTTTAAATTAGGAAAAACGTGTTTAAATTCCAAAGTGGATGCTTATTGGACAAGATGCGTATCTACGTGTAGTTCAGTGACTAGGTATCATCTATTTTTTGGTCAATCTATGATTTAATGGACGAGTAAGTAGCACGATGCTCTTTCTTGTTCTTCCATGGAATTAGATTATAGCTCATGTTTTGTAACATGTGAGTTAATGTGGGTTTTACAATGTTTCTTTGATTAGGTATAATAATATTAATTCCATATAATGTTTTAGTGATAATAGTTCTACTAATAATTTAGCATTGAATCCTATTTTCTATGAAAAAACCAAACATGAAGTTGATGTTCATTTTATAAGAGAAAATGTATCAAAAAGGAGTATTAAAAATGGTTAAGAATGAATCAGAAAATCAAAGGGTTGACATTCTTGCCAAACCGTTGATTTCTAGTCAATTTGAATTTTTAAGCAACACAGTAAACTATTTGATCCCTTTTCAAAAACTGATGATATGCATGTTAACTGTTGGGGAAACGAAATAGGGTTATAGAAAATCTGGATCACAAACAGGAATCGTGTAAACACTTTCCTTGTTTGATATTTCGACCCTATATGCCTTGGGTATCACGAAATCCAAACTGGGATAATTCCTGAAACAACAATTCTGATCTTAGGTACAAAATCAGAATCAATTTTGATCAGATGATGAAGAAGAAGAAGAAAAAGAGCGTTCAATTGTTTTTCTCTGTGTTTCAATATGTATATCCGTTTCCCTAACTTATCCAAACAACGGGAGAAATGAAAAACGGTTTTAATCTTTTCAAGAATGACAATTTAGTCCTTGTACTGTTCTTAAAATATTTAGTAAATACAAGTGTGCACTCCCGCACCTCCTAACTTGTATTATAACTAAAAACATTATTCTTGAAACACTTGTTAAGTCCATTACACTAAAATATATTTGGTGATAAAATCACCAACAATCCTCCCCTATTTTAGTGTAACCTTGAATTAACAACCTTAAAACAAAAGAAAACGAAACTAATGCATAAATGAAAATATCGATACGATTGAATTTTCATGTTAGTATATTACACATTTCAAACATTCGAGAAATCAAGGTATCTTAAAGATTGAACCCATCAACTCTTTTGAATATCTGAAGATAATATACATATTAGTTTTAAAATCATCTCAACAAAATAACTTGACACTAATTATAAAGTCATGTGTCCCAATCCATTCGTGATCGTATAAAAGCCAAGTCCCAAGCTCTTTGAAGTGCGGCTACACTTCACGATCATATAAGTGATTCTTTTATTCATGTACCTGTATATATTTTATCAAAAAAATCATTAAGAAATCAAATTCATCCTGGTCTCTACAGGTTCAAACACACGTACCTTGGGATAGTTATAATCTTTGTTCCAATTCATATAAATAAGTTTTCCTCATTGAATTCAACCTCTAACATTGTATTAGATGGGAATTGGGTGTCTCATTCATAAGAATTTACAAGGACTTTAAGCCCATCCCTATAACAGACTTGTGCACTAAGTCTCGCGCCAAACTCTTAGTGAGATGGTCCGCCAAATTTTGTTGTGATTTTACAAACTCAATCGAAATCACACCATCCATGATTAGATTTCTAATCATCCAATGTCTAACATCAATTTGTCTCGATTTACCATTATAAACTTAACTATAAGCTTTACTCAAAGTTGAAACACTATCACAGCGGATAGATAATGGTGAAATCGGTTTCCTCCACAATGGAATCTCATAAATCAAATTCTTTAACCATTCTGCTTCCTTGCTTGCAGCAGCCAATGCTATAAATTCAGATTCCATCGTTGAACTTGTTATACAAGATTGCTTCTTAGATGCCCATGAGATAGCACCTCCACCAAGCAAGAATACCCAACCAGTTGTAGAAGAATGATCTTCTCTATTGCATATCCAACTTGCATCAGAATATCCTTCCAAAACCGAAGGAAATCCTGAATAACACAAACAATAATCCTTGATTCCTTTCAAATATTTGAAAACATGATGAACCGCTTGCCAATGTTGAGTACTAGGATTATGAGTAAATATACTCAATCTTCCCACTGCGTAAGCTATATCAGGACGAGTGCTAGTCATAGCATACATCAAAGAACCAATAGCTTGCGAGTACTCCAGTTGAGAAACTGATCTGCCTCTATTAGGCATCAACTTCATGCTTGAATCCATAGGGGTGCTAACGGGTGTACAATCACTGTAATTAAACCGTTTGAGAATTTTCTCAATGTAATGTGACTGTGTAATAGCAAGTCCCTTGTTCACCCGTTTAATCCTTATTCCAAGGATTACATCTGCCTCCCCCATATCCTTCATAGAAAACTTTGAAGACAATAAATTCTTTGTTGCATTAATTTGATTTTGATCAGTGCCAAAAATCAACATATCATCTACATACAAGCAAATGATCACACCAGATCCAGATGAATCAAAACGGCTGTAAACACATTTGTCAGATTGGTTTAAAGAAAAACCATTAGACAAAATAACTTCATCAAACTTCAAATGCCATTGTTTTGGAGCTTGTTTAAGTCCATATAAAGATTTCACAAGTCTACACACTTTTTGCTCATTTCCAGGCAGGACAAAACCTTCTGGTTGTTTCATATAAACTTCTTCGTCAAGATCACCATTCAAAAAAGCTGTTTTAACATCCATTTGATGTATCACTAGATTGTGAATAGCTGCCAAAGCAAGCAACAATCTAATGGTAGAAATCCGTGCTACCGGTGCACACGTATCAAAATAATCGATATTGGCTTTTTGTCTAAAACCTTGTATGACCAGACGAGCCTTGAATTTATCAATGGTTCCATCTACCTTCATTTTCTTCTTGAAAATCCATTTACATCCCAAAGGTTTTAGAACCAGGAGGTAAATCAGATAACACCCAAACATTATTCTCCATAATGGATGACATTTCTTCATCAACCGCTTCTTTCCAAAACGCAACATCTCGAGACTCCATAGCTTCCTTAAAAGTCTTTGGTTCAGTCTCAAGATGAGAGGAATATGAGTATTGTTTCTTCACTTTATCCCTCGAACCTTCAACTAAAAATAGTTGAAAGTCATCGCCAAAAATTTTCGCGACTCGACCTCGTTTGCTTTTACGAAGTTGCTGTGTTTCTGGAATTGAAACAACTTCCTTACCATCTGATTTAGGCACCTCACTTGTGCTTGGAATCAGATCCTTTGGTCTTTGAATTGAAGAATATCGCAGCTCATCAAAAATCGCATCTCGCGACTCTATAATGGTATGAACGGAATATGCCTCATTAGGTTCTATAACATAAAACCTATAAGCTCTGGAATGTTCTGCATATCCAATAAATATGCAGTCAATTCCTCTTTCACCCAAATTTTTCTTTTTAGGTTCGGGTAATTTCACAACTGCTCGACATCCCCAAATTCGAAAATAATTCAAATTTGGTGTTTTCTTGTGCCAAAGTTCATAAGGAGTAACTTTGTTCCGTTTATTAGGAACCCGGTTTAGCACATAATTGGCTGTGAGCATAGCTTCACCCCAAAAGCCTTCACTTAAACCCGAAAAAAGAAAGCATCGAATTTACCATTTCTTTTAAAACTCGATTTTTCCATTCAGCAACACCATTTTGTTGTGGATTGTAAGGAGCTGTGGTTTAATGAATGATTCCAACCGATTGAAAGTATTCAGAATCCATGTACTCTCCTCCCCTATCTGTCCTAAGACATTTTATAGAAATACCCAACTGTAATTCGACTTCAGTTTTATATAATTTAAACTTTTCCAAAGCTTCATTTTTGGAATGTAACAAGTATACATAACAAAACCGACTTGAATCATCAATAAAAGTAACAATGTACTCTTTATTTCCCAAGGAAGGTGTAGCATGGAAATCACATAGATCACTATGAATCAATTCCAACACTTCTGATTTTCTATTAACATTTGGAAACGGTTGTTTCGTGATTTCAGTTAACATACAAGTTTTGCATTTTTCAGAATTAATGTCAAAAGCTGGAATCAATCCGGATTTTGACATTTCAACCATTCTTTTAATATGAACATGTCCTAATCTATTATGCCATAACATATAATTATCAAGATTAGATGCAGAAGTCATACAAGTAGATTTGACATGTGATGCAAAACAACTTATAACATTTAACTTAAAAACACGTTCACAATAATAACCAAATCCCACAAATATTCCATATTTAGACAACACATACTTGTTTGACTCAATCACTTGTTTATAACCCATACAATTCAACAAACCACTAGACACAAGGTTCTTTCGAACCTTTGGAACATACAATACATCAAACAAATTAATTGTTTTTCCAGAAGTAAACGTAATACTAATAAACACCAGTTCCTAAAATTGGCTTTGATCCTTCATCCGCCATGTGTAAGACAGAACCTTTATTTACTATGTTCAACTTCGTGAACCATCGTTCATCATTACACACGTGATGTGTAGAACATGTATCAAGCCACCATGAATCTGTATCAGCCCCCTGTACAAAAGAAACTTCAGGAGTTAGTAGCATAACATTGAATACTGAACTTACAAGATCTATAGTTAATTGACCTTTGGTTGCAGATTGATCATGAGACCCACTGCCACCACCAGCACCCTCTTTTCCACTACCACTTGCACCTTTATTTCCAAGTTTCACCCGACAGTCACGTTTCATATGCCCTTTCAGATGGCATCTCCAACACACAAGTTCCTTGGAATCCCTGTATTTTTTGTTGGACTTTTTGTTGTTACCCTTATACTTACATTTTTTACCCTTGCCCTTATGATTAGAATTGTCTTCTTTATTACATTCAACCATATGAACTTGGGGCTGTCCAAAATCAGATTTGCCCTTTCCAGTTCCTTTGTCATTCTCTTGATCACGAAGTCCTTCTTCGATTTTCAAATGACTCCCAAGTTGAATCAAACTTATCTCTACCTTTCTATGTTTCAGATGGTGTTTGAAATCTTTCCATGAGGGTGGAAGTTTATCAATCACACTTGAAACAGCAAAGGATTCGTCCATGGACATGTTGTGTTGTTTGAATTGACCATAAATTCGTAGGATTTCATTATATTGTTCCATTACAGATCGAGAATCAACCATTTTATAATTGTTGAAATCAGAAACAATGAACTTTTTACTTGAAGCATCTTCTGCAATATATTTTTGCTTCAAGTGTGTTCCATAATTCACTTGCTGTTTCAATGTTTTGATGAGTGTCAAAGAGGGAATCACACATACCATTCAGAATGTGACCAAGGCAGATGTAGTTGTCATTCTCCCATTTGCTTCTCCTTCTGATTTGTTCCAGACTTGCATCTTCAACCTCTTCTGGTTTTGGAGTAGAAAGAACATAGACAACTTTCAAAGTGGTCAACCAGAAGTGCATCTTCTTTTGCCAACGTCTGAAATCTTGGCCCTGAAATTTCTCCAATTTGCCAAACGAAGTATTCATGTCTTTCAATGAATTGCCAGCCATCTTTTCCAGAAAAACGGAAATATCAACCAAGATTGTTGGGGAAACGAAATAGGGTTATAGAAAATCTGGATCACAAACAGGAATCGTGTAAAACACTTTCCTTGTTTGATATTTCGACCCTATATGCCTTGGGTATCACGAAATCCAAACTAGGATAATTCCTGAAACAACAATTCTGATCTTAGGCACAAAATCAGAATCAATTTTGATCAGATGATGAAGAAGAAGAAGAAAAAGAGCGTTCAATTGTTTTCCTCTGTGTTTCAATATGTATATCCGTTTCCCTAACTTATCCAAACAACAGATAAATGAAAAACGGTTTTAATCTTTTCAAGAATGACAATTTAGTCCTTGTATTGTTCTTAAATATTTAGTACTAATAATATTTAGTAAATACAAGTGTGCACTCCCGCACCTCCTAACTTGTATTATAACTAAAAACATTATTCTTGAAACACTTGTTAAGTCCATTACACTAAAATATATTTGGTGATAAAATCACCAACATTAACATGGTGGGGGGGGGGGGGGGGGGGGGGGGGGGGGACAATAACATTATTTTGTCATGCTAAATGTAGGATAAAATAGAAGGTACAAAATGACATTTAGTCAAAGTAGATTCGTATGTTGTTGTACGTTGAGCTTGAGAAGACGTCAAAGTTGAAGAAGTGCTAGGGACGTTGTAAATTATCAAGTAGCTGACACATGTGGATTAATGGGGCTAGATTATCCAGAAGATAAAAAGTGACAGAGAGGTTGTATATGACTTGAACTACATCTAACATCTAGTCATATCAGGTGTATTAAAGTGTGTAGAGAGTCATTTGGTGAATCAATCAGTTTAACCATTCTCTCTATTCTCTTGTTAATATAAGATGTCTTTTTCAAGTTAGGGATTCATATAATTCACTTCTAATAGGTCATTTATATTAGCTAATCTTATATGCCTAAATTGATAGGAAATTTGTGAATGATAGATCGTTGTTTTGTAGCGAGGATTTTGTTTTGTAAAAGTATTCAGTAATAAATCTATGATTTTATAGTACTTATCATTCATTTAAATTCACTTTGAGTAATCTTTTCTTCTTATTGGAACTTATGATTATATTGATAGAGTTTGTGATTACAAAACGTTTGTGAGGCAAAATTAGACATGGATGATTGAAAAAGTTTATATTAAGCCTATTTTAAAATCCAATTTTTTAGGCCATCCATAATTTATTATTCCAAAGAAAATAAAAATTGTCACAAAATGCTATAGATATTTTACAAGACCTTGAAGGTGATGATTTAAATATATTCCTCTCGAACAAAAGATTATGAAGCCCAATTGTTCTTATCATTATACATCTCATACTACATATGTAATATAATTTGGATTCTTATATGATCTTATATAACATATACTCTTTCTTTTCCAGACATAAAAAAGATTATGGATGGAAAAATCAACACTATAATAACCGCTACCATTCATGAGTAATATTTTCTCGAATGAGTTGTGATGTTATTAGCACCATATTGTTGTTGCTAAATCACCATCCAAAATGGAAATCTACCGACCTGAAAGTTGAACAGTTGATGTAGTGGCATTTGATGTTGTTCGTGGAGTAGTATATGTACTAGTGTCTAGTGAAATAGATACATGAGGTTCCTTATATGTAGACGTCATTGGGGATATTTGCTCTGGTGATCTGTCACTTAAAACCAAAACTACTTCAGACATTGATGGTCTTGTTGATGCGGGTGATTGAGTGCACATCAAGGATAGCTCTATGATTTTCTTTACATCTTGTAGATATTCAGTTAGGTCTAGTTTAAGATCACATAGATTCTCATGTATTCCATTTTGGTATAGATTCCATGCCTATCATACACAATAATTAAGAAAAACAAGATTGTATAAAATATATATTTCAAATTATTCAATAAATGGTTATATGATTATATTTTTTTTTGCCTTCATCGATCTACTTGTAGACAAGACTCATGAGATATGGACCCAAGTAAAAAATATATGCCAAATATATAACTTTAAGATACTTACGTAATCAACTAAGTTGTTTACAACAGATCCATTTCCTATGCCTTCAGTGCAACTCCTCCCACTAATAATTTCAAGGACTAGAACACCAAAGCTGTACGTATCTACTTTCTCAGATACATGTCCATGGATTGCATACTCTGGCGCTACATAGCCACTATAAATAATATCATATTCGAATAGTTAAAAGGAATGAAATATATTAGTAAAGAAGAAATCAAACACATACACAAAGAGAACTAGAAAAGATGTTCAAATTGGTAAGGAGACTCTAAGTGAATGAACTTACAATGTCCCTGCAACTTTGGTGCTGATATGCGTCTTATTTTCTGGTAACAGTCTAACCAAACAAAAGTCTGAAATTTTTGGTTGAAACTCATTATCAAGTAGAATGTTGCTCGATTTAATATCTCCATGAACGACTGTGACATGGTATTGTTCATGTAGATATGCAAGTCCCCTTGCTATTCCAAAGATTATTTCAAACCATTGTTTCCAATTTAGACTCCCTCGTTTTTCACCTGCCATTTGTTAGATCGAATGTCAGGTATTATAACTACACCAATTCGTCAGCTAAATGCATGCTTTCCAACTCACCGTAAAGGAAATTATCAAGGCTTCCGTTTTCCATGAATTCTAGAACAAGAAACATGTGCGGGTCTTTGTTACAGTATCCAAGAAGGCGCATAAGATGACGATGATGAACATTACTAATGATTTTAAGTTCATTATCGAAGTCTGTTTTTCTTCCTCTAGAAGACATGGATGTTTTCTTTATTGCAACTACTTCCCCGTTTAATAGTGTCCCCTGATGTATATCAAAAAAAATTATAAGAAGAGCAAATGTCTATTTAGACTATAAAGAAAAAAATATATATACAATTATAGGATAATAAAAACTAATACAAATACCTTATAAACCTCTCCGAAAGCTCCTTCTCCAAGTTTCTGCTCTATACTAAAATTATTAGTTGCGATAACTAAATCATTGAAGTTATAAGCCATGGGGCCTTGCAGAAGTTCAGTTGCTCCAGTCGACTTATCTGTGAAGTCGAAACCTCAAATATAGTACAAACCACTAACCATGTACTTATGTAGTAAAGATACATTAAGATAATAAGTCATTCCATTTTAGAAACATGTTAAGTTGATGTACAAGATTAGTATAAATGTTTCCCAAAATTTCATACCATACATTTGTAAAAGTGGATGTGCATTAGTATGTACCTTGTTGGTGATCACTTGACTTTGTAGACACATGCCACAAGAGATATACAACTACAAGTACAATCAACATAATGGTGACACCTCCAAGAACTCCTCCTATAATAGCTCCTTTAGGGATTGAAATTCGTCCTGGTATATTGTACATATCACATAAATCCATAAACGAATATATTGCAAACAACATAGCTAAATGGCACCTAAGGACTCGGTTGAAGTATCTTTGACTATAGATATCTCACGTAAAAACAATATTAAAAGTCATGTCTAGGAAATAGGTCTTACCATCTTTTAGAAAGGGTGTTAAATCAATAGTCTGGTTGTTTCTAAAAAACGCAGTACTAGAGTACCTCATAAAGCATCCTGCATCAATTGCCCTTCCGAATGTATTAGGAAGACAACCTGATAAGGTTGTAGTTCTTACTGATAAACATTCCGCACAAACGGGTTGGCTTATGTTTAAATTACATTGTGCAATTGCATATACAGCTACATTGTTGCCTTTAACTCGCCTTGCAGAGGCAGCATAGAAATTTGATGTTCTTGGTGTTGCAAATCGAAGGTCTGATATTAACTCTTTCACTGTTTCTTGGAACGCAGGCTGAGTTGAAGTTTTGTTTCCACATACTCCAACATTTCCCCGAACATTAGCCTCTATGTAGAAGTTATAGTTCTCGTACCTTCAACAATTAATACAATGCAATGAAACACATAAAATAGAAACCATAAATGTATTTATTAGTAGAGATTATGTTGATTAATTTTCATAAACCGGGGCAGAAGAGATGAGGAATATGATAATAAAAAAAACTTGATATCATGTTTGGATTGTTTAAATTTAGTCTCCTTAATATTTGACCTAATATTGCTCAAATATCACATCCCTTGAGGATAATCCAACAAAAATTTACTTCAAGTCATGGAAAGAAACAAGACGTTCTTAATTAACTCATGTATGGTTTTGGTGTTTTCTCAAGCAACCAAAAATACTAGTAAAACCTTTTATTTATATATACCATGTTAGGTTTTACCAATAGTTTATAGGGACTCTGGGGCACTTATTACTTGGTACCAACAGTTTACAACACATGAATATTAGTGCATCAACATCTGTAGTGTATCTTTTCTTGAAGTCATCCATTACTAATCTAATCAACGGTATTGGCAATTGAACTTCAATATCTATTAGAGTAGATTTGTAGATTTAGTTTTCGTCCCATGGAGTTGGTGGGACAAAATATAATAAGAAACTATAACATAAATTTGGTAATTATGATTTATGTATAAAAATGAAGTAGTAAAGCAAAAGAAATTGATCATGAATGTAACTAATTACCTAAGTTCACAATCGTCGTAGATAACACGGCCACCATTGACAATCCCACATACTCTCACACCAGTCACAGCTATGTCGAAACAGTTCAAACACTCTGAAGTGGAGAGATATCCCCTACATAAAGCAAGTCCGTATACTGAGTCGCCGTTGATTATAGTCCGTGCAACAGCTTCATATATGGTGGCACTGGACAACTGCCGCCGGAGGCTAGAAATGGTGGTGTTCAGGTTCCTCGAAAAAAACTCTTCATTCAAGACCCCATATTTACTGCAATAGCTTCTTATCAGAGTATTACTCCTCTTACTGGACTGTGAAGTCACCGTGTCCGCCATGATTACAAGGAGAATCACGGCCAACCAGCGTATCATGAATCCCAAGCCTCCGATGGGTGTGTGAGTACGTTTTCCCATGAAAGAGAGAGAAAGAGAAAGAGAAAGATATGGATACATTCCTATCCGCTAGCAGAGGAGTTATATCAAGTTTAGCCGTCACGTAAATTACTAGTTTACCCTGTCGACAAATGTATCAAACTTCAGTTACGGAGGGCATTAATGTTATTTGAAATATTGGTTGAACTCCCAATAAACTATAGTCAAATTGTAGTAGCCTAGTGGGACATTGTGAATACATCCTTCAAGTTGACTAATTAGATGCGGCTTTGTTTTATTACATCGGTGTATACTTTTTTAAAAGATTCAACTGAATTGCCATGACGTTTTTTATATTTTTCGAGGATAATGTCAATGTGTTTTTTTTTCTTCATAATTCTTGCTTGGAATATCATTTATACGTCAGTGCTACGATTAACAAGTTCGGTGGTCACTTTTATTTTTAATAGTTAAATCTTTGGATTTAAAACTTTGTTTTGATCACTAGAACATATTTATGCACAATTTACAAATTATAATTCTCTTCGTATATTTTCTAGCTGAAGTGTCACTAAATCGTGTTTCGACATAATTATACGAAGAGAATCATCATTATTGAATTTTGTATAAACTTTGATCTAGTGATCAAATCATCTAATATTTAAGTTATGATTTATAAAAAAAACTGTAACACTGAGCAATCTAAAAGTCATATTTGCAAAACACAACTACATCATACAGTTTTTTCCAAGCATTTTACGTTGGAAGGTGTCACTAATGGATTTATGGATGGATTAAATAATGTTAAAAAAAGTCATGCTTAAATTGTTGGTGATTTTAGTATTATCAACATATTTTAGTGTAGTTATTATTATTAATATTGAGATATGTTGAGATCAATTTACTAACAAAGACAGGAGGAGTGGAGTGTACACTCTGAGTGATAAATGTGAACTCGAGAATACAAGGGTCCGTTAGAGCCCCTGGGTGCAGGGTTCTAAGGGGTTACGCCCCTGTCGGGGTCTAGGGGCAGCGCCCCTTGCGGGGTCTAAGGGGCAGAGCCCCTGGTGGTGGGGATTGGGGCAACGCCCCGAAAGTTAAGCGGAGTTTTATGACTGGAAAGGGTCCAGCCACGCAAGTTCCCGCCAAAACTAGTAGTGATATCATGATGCTACCATAAATTGGTTATGTCATAATAACCAACTCATTTTGGTGCCAAATGCATGTAACTTCCATTAACCAACTTTCAACCAATATTTTATCATTTATTTAAGGATGGTTGAAGTTCCAAACTTCAGTTTAAAAATAGATATTCCCGAAAATAATTCTTCTGATTCTATCTATCTTTTCAAGAACACAAAACAACAAAGTATTTTTCAGTATTTCAGATTTAAAAGTGGTCTGACTTCTAAATTGTCATTCTTTGGATTATCCCAAATCTGATTTCGTGATACCCCGGGCTATAGGGTCGAAATCACAGATTGTGGAAAGTGATTGCAATCACGATCCTAGAAATATCCAAGTAAATTGATATTCTTAAGACCCCAAAATTCTAACTTTCAAAATCTATGATTTGTGATGAATATCAATGTTAGAATATGTTAAAGACATGACTTCCAAATTCGGGAAGCTGGATAAGTTTGAAGGCACTGATTTTCGTCGTTGGTAAAAGAAGATGTATTTCCTTCTTACTATACTGATAGTTGTTCACGTTTTAAGCACTCCTACACCAGAACCAATGGAGAATGAACCCCTTAAACATACCAAAAGAAGATGAAAATGGAAAAATGATGATTATATCTGTTGTGGTCACATTCCGAATGACATGCCTGACTTTCTCTTTGACGCGCGTCCATCAAAATCGTTAATCTGCAAAAGATCCGTGGGATGCCCTTGAGTCCAAATATATTTCAGAGTAATTTTTTGTCAGTAATTTTAACAATTACAAGATGGTGGATTCAAGGCCTGTCATGGAACAATATAATGAACTTATGAGGATTTTGGGAGAATTTGAACAACACAAGATACAAATGGATGGATCTATTTTTTCTCTCAAATGTTATTGACAAATGGCCCCCATCCTGGAAAGACTTCACACACACACTGAAACACCAAAAAGAAGAGTTGTCTCTAGTACAACTTGGCAGTCACTTAAGAATTGAAGAGGGTCTTTGGGCTCAAGAAAGTGGCATAGGAAAGGAAAAGGAAGTTCCAAGATCTTCTATGAACATGGTGGAAGATGACAAACATTAAAAAAAATAACAAAGGAAAAATGAAGAAGAAAGATGACCATTATAAGAGTTCAAACAAGAAAGCAAAACTTGTGTGTTGGAATTGCAACAAAACCAGTCACATGAAGCGAGATTTTCGTTTAAAGAAGAACAAAATAGAGCAAGCACGTCTGGACAAGGATCAAATGATCAAGGTCCAAAACCACAAGGTCAAAATTTTATTTTTGAAATTTATACTACTGTTATATATCATGTAACACATATTCCTGAATTATTTTATGTTGAAGATGATGATCATGCATGGTGGATAGACTCGGGGGCGATGAGTCATGTATGTAAAGATCACTCTTATTTTTAGGATTATAAAGTAGTGGATGATGCATTAATGTTGTCTTGGATTAGGTGTCTAAGCCCATAACTATTTTGGTATGTACTTGACCCGATTATGAGAATGGTCCTTTTGGGTTGCCTTCACTCATGCAACTCGATAGGATGACAAGAAGAGAGAGAGTAGAATTTATTATATGAATAACAAATTCATACTTAAAATGGTTTTATTAATATATTACAAGATTAATATATTATTTGGAAATCATATTATTTAATTAGTATTGATCAGAAATTGATTTGGAATTAATTTGGTGATCAAAAGTGTGACAACCTGTTATTTTCGATCTTGTAAAAGTCAACAAAAATCAAACATATCAAATAAAAGTCGAACTTATTGATTTGTTAATTTAATAAAATAAAATTAATGTTTTTGATACATATAAACACTTAATAAAAATGTTGTAGAAATAAGAAGTTGAAACCTAAGGAAAACCGAGGATTCTCGCATGACCAAAAACCCTCGCAGCCGTCTTCTTCTTTCTTCTCTAGGACCGAAAAACTTCGCAAGAAGGAACAGCTAGCCTTGGACCACAATACGGTTATCGGCCGCAAACTCCTCGGACTGAAAACATGCGAGACCGACTCAGCAACCTTATCTTCTTAGTTTGAGTTCCTTATCTTCTCGATTTGAGTTCCCAACCGAGAACCCTTCCTTGGTTTGTGTTCTCGGCCGAGAACCATTAACCGCCACCCTTTATACTTCATATATATATATATATATATATATATATATATATATATATATATAGTGTGTGTGTGTGTGTGTGTGTAAACCGAAAGCTTCCTTCATTCTTACACATTACATCCGAAAACTCAAACTTTTCTCTTAAGGAATCCAACCGAAAACACCTCTCTCCTCTCAAGAACATGCAAAGCCTCTTATTTTCTTGATCATCATATGAAAATCACTTGATTCTT